GGACATGGCCCTCCGGCGTGAGCAGGGCGACGGCCTTACCTCCAGCCGCTGGGACGGTGGCGCCAAGAAGGCAGGTAATGAAGACGGCCGGGACTCCGGGGAGCAGCCTGCGAGGAGAGCCTGGGGGCCCGGGCGGCGAGGGGCCGGGTACAGCTGTCGGAGGTTCGGGCCGCGGGAGAGGAAGGTGATGAAGGCCCCGGGTCGCGTCTAGACGGGGAGAGGGCCTGGGGCTGGGGAACCAGGCCGGTCCTGTGCCCACCGTGGAAGGAAGCCGGCAGAATCGCGTGCTGGGGGGGAAGGTGGCGGCGGGGGCCTGCTCTGCGTCCTCCTTTCTCCTGGAACGGAAAAGTGGGCTCGCTGAGAGCTGAGGCCGGGCGTCACCCCCGGGCCTGACACTTGCCGGCCACGTCCTCAGACTTCTGGTGCCGCCTTCCTCATTGTTAGGCAGGCTTCCCAAACTTCCTCCTACCCTCCTGTGGACTTTCGTGGTCTCCCTGTAACATCTGTTCCTTTGAATTACCATAACGCTCACCCTTTTCAAAGCCTCATCTTAGTCCGTTCGCAAAGTTGTGCGAACGTCGCCACCGTCCAGTTCCAGAACACTTGATTTCATTCTCCATTCCCCAGTTTCCTCAGCTCCTGGCAGCTACTTAGCTACTTTCTGTCCCCAGTGTGAGCCACCTAATTTAATGTTATTTAATTGTGTAAAGAGCAGTTCTGTTTTGTATACTCTTTCAGCCTAAATAATAGCTGTGAAGTCATGATTTTGCTGTTCGTGTTCTCAGACGCCTTTTTCATGTAATAAAAGCATGTCAGTTAAATTACGAATGTTTACCCTGTACCAAGTAAAATAATATTTTCTCCCCGTGGGGAAGTCTAGCTCTCTCTGGTCCTCTGATGGTATGGGGGATGCCCATCGCAGAACCAGTCATGTATGTAATTCCAACACACATGTTTTGTTGAAGCCTCTGGTGTCCACATCTTGTTTTGTGGGGCTCATTTTCGGTTATACCTCTTCTCTCCTGATACTGATTGTAAGAGGAGCTCAGTCCCAGTACTATTTTTTCTGTGCTCTTTGGCACTGTAACCTTTTGCTGGTATTTGTATGAAATCTGTCCTCATGGCATAATAGTCGCTGTCCCAAGTGGTGTGCATCTTGTGACCTGTTGCAATGCAAATGTATCTGGGTTTTAAGACTATTTGTCCAGTTCCCTTGATTTGTCTTTTCTGGGTAAAAAAAAGAGGGATTTAGATATGAAGGGTTTTCTTTTTCTTTTTTTGGTTTGATTTCGGTTTTAATCATGTTTGAAAATTGCTAGCAGCGTTATTAATACTAGAAGTCCTCCTTTGTGGAGTTTATGATCAGATTGGTCTGTTTTCTAGACTGTTTTTGTACAGTGTTGGAGTAAAGCAGCCTTTTTTCTTTTTTCTTTGTAGAGTGTCACTAAGTTGCCCAGCGGAGGCTCTAGTTTGAATCCTCTTGCCACATCTTCCTAGAGTGTTAATATTACAGGGGTGTGCCACCACACCCAGCCTTAAAGCACTTTCCTTGGTGCCTGCTTATCTTTATGTTTCAGGTAGTTAATGAATCTCTTCTAACTTGGGTACTATTTTGTAGAAACCAATTAGGACCACTAAAGGAAAAGGCCACTTTGTTTTAATTTGTTGTTGTTATTCAGAAGGATGTCGTTTTCTCTTCTACTGTCCATCTCTGGTACAGACATGATGTTTAAATATAAATTTTCAAGTTAATTTCTAAAGTCACTGTCAAGTTCAGGAGTCACTGTCATGTTATTCAGGAGGTTGTCTCTCTGTCTAGGAAAACCCCCCTCTCCCACCCTCCCTGTCTTTCTTTTTTGTTTTGAGACAGGGTCTCACTATGTAGTTGAGACTGACCTGGAACTATGTAGCTTAGGCTGGTCTTGTACTCACAGCCATCCTCCTGCCTCAGCCTCCCGAGGACTGGGATTACAGACACCCGGCGCTCGCTCTCTCTCCCTCTCTCTCCCTCTCTCTCCCCCTCTCTC